AAGTCGAGGGCTTGTTTAGCTAGAACTGAATGTAATCACTTATTTTTTCTTTCTTTACATGACTAACTTAGACTGAAGGCAAAGCTTTTGGCACGCTAGACAGACCGCTAGGAGGCTCTAGGAACATAAAGCTACATGTACACCAAGCAGAATTATGAAAAATTGTTACCTTTGGAACAATTCACTGTTATTTGTTTTTGAAAATTTCATCTTGTTGACCCTGTTTCAGTAGTTCCTGCACGAGGGCATATGACCAGAGACAAAGAATTTGCAATATAATTGCCTTAAAAGGAAAATAAAACAAGCGAAAACAAACAAACAATGAACAGGAACAGAAGATTGACTTTCAAATATTCACTATTTAACTGATGAGCACGTAGCACCGATCTCAGTAATCGCAGAGTTCTGGTTCAGCTCTCATCATGATTAATTATTTGGCTGCTTTCCTGATTCTCTGTATCTCTGGCGGTTCGCTGGGAACGACCACATCACCTCCGCAGCAAAACGCCGCAAAGTTGAAAGATTTATGTGAGGTAAGAAATTCATAAAGATAAAAAGGAAGACTACGCCGTGAATTAGGTACACTGTACACGCAGAAACCATTTTACTGCTTTCTTATGGCTACATATATTCTTTACGCTTATTTAAAACTTCCCTAGATATAAAACGCATTCCAGTACATTTAAAAGTCCTGTTTCAACATGATCTTGCATAACTAAAAACCTTAAGTCTTAGGTCAACTGTTGAGGTGGCTCCCTAGAGTATTTACCAATACAACCCTTGGTGTCTAGCATGCGTTACACACACAGAAGTTTGTCTTTGTGATCGGGGATTTTGTTTAAGAGATTCACTGCTATGGTCACCCATATAAGAACGCTCATTTATCAAGTTTCATTTTCTAGTTAAAGGTTCGTGCCATGGCAACATCTCATCCTTGGACACACAGTAGCTAGTTTTATAATTTTTGATCATTTTTCCTTAATATTTCTAATTTTTCTCGGTGAAATGTCTTTCAATCTTTTCCACATTATATTAACAATATTGCTGAACATTTCAAAGTGGAAAAAACATGGGGTCGCTAAGGCCGTTTTTCTATTATTCCGTAATTTGTTACTTTTCTTAATAAAAGCAACTCGCTCTTACAAATTAACAAAAACAAGACAATTCAAATGTAGTAAAACTAGTAAGAAATGAGGCAATTCAAAAAAGAAAAAAAAATGCCCTAAGGGAACGCGAGAAAAGTCATTGTTATTTTTCCTTTTTTAGAGGAAGAACACGCGTGGTTTGAGGAAATGTGAGAAAATACGCGCTCGAGCCATTACACCAGCATGCGCATAATGCACATAGCTAGTCAAAGCATGTGGTTTCTTCGAAAAGTACGAAAGCCCTTCTCAAAGGCGTTCATTAGTATTATTATGGTGTTATCTCGCTATTTTTAAGAGTAGAAGATAGGGGATTCAATTTTATACCTAACAGTGTATGTTTTTCTTCGAAATACTTGACTATTGTAGCCAGAATTCGAGACGTGGTGGTCACTCGTGGTGATCAGGTGATCATCGTAGATAAAGAAGGTGGTTGCGCAAGGATCGCAATAAGTCCTTCATTTCCTAATCTGCTGTACACTTTTTGCAGATCTTCAATTGCCAGCCCCCTTAGTCTTCTTGATATCTTTTTTAAACTATGCTCTTCAATGCGGACGGCGAAGTTTTTCTTTTGGGAGGGGGGAGGGGGGCGAGGCGTCTGCAGTAAAAGATGGCATCGATCACAACAGATTACGTCCTCAGCTGCATGCACAAGACTGTAGTTCTGGAATATTGCTTTCGTCAAGGGTCAGTCTGTGACTCAAATATTATTTTTTGTTGCGCGAAAACATCTTCTTGTGCATCATTGTCTTTGAAGGCCCTTTGAAACAAGAAAAAGTACAAGGATGATTGGTTCGTCTTTGGAAAGGTTTCATCAGGATTTTGCTTGTAGGAAACCTTTTTCTTAAACGAGGTGATAGACTGCAAAACCAAAAAAACGTTCACTGCCTGTAATCTTTCCCTAAAGTCACTATTCCTGCTATTAGCATTTCTTTAATCAAATAAAATATAAGAAAAATGAATTTACCAAGGAGCTCTGCCGCTTAAGACATTCTTGTTTCTTTAGGACATGGCTCGATCTAGTTTCAGATAAGTGACTTGTAACTCGTATCACATTGTCTGTTCTCATAAATGCTTGACCTTCACTAACCAAACTTGGGAGTAATGGGCGTGAAGAAAGTCAATAAAGGTTTTCTCTGGGAATATTTCGAAACTGAGAAGCCATGCTTTGTTTATTTTTGCGTGGACGTCGCGCGGTTTTTAAAGCTCGCGCCATCAAACTCGTCGCCAGGGCGTTTTCCCTGTCTTTTCGCGCCATACTAATGCTCAGGCTGCGCATTGCCAATTTACTCTTGGGAGCCACCTTAAGTTTCTCTGATTCCAATAGTTTTCATTCTTTAGCTCATACTGACAATATATATTTCAATTTCTCTTGCTTTTCTAAAAAAAGAAGAATCCAGTGATCTCTGTCAATTATATATGATACTTCAATACTCTTTGGCGCTGTTTTACTCATTCTCGTTCCCAGAGCTTCAATCCTTTTGGTCCGCGTCGTCGAAGCTCTGGGAACGAGAATGTCTTTTCACTTTTCTCAGGGGAGGCGAGCATGTAAAAATATATAAAATGTAATATGTGTAAAGCACACGCTTTAGAAGTATTTTTTGATCATTTGAATTGTTTTTCCATTTAGCTTTTGGAATTATTTGCCTTTAGCTGGAGAAATGGAAGCTGAATATCTTGCATTCTTATAAAAATTACACACTTAATTCCTTATGAAACAGCGAGAGTTCGTAAACGTTCAGTAGTCGTATTCTCTCGGTGATTGCAAAAATTGCTCCAATTTTCTTGCAGCAGATTCTTTATAGCTACCTGTTTTAGGCCAGTTTTTTCTTCGTTTTTCGATCGAGAAAAAGATCGTTCCGACAAATCATAACATGTAAACCAGCCTAAAGCCCTCTAGTTACAAAAGCAAAGTTTCTTCAACAAGAAAAACTTCCTCCGCAGTAGTTGATTAACTCTTCCCAAGAGCGACCAAAGTCATAATTAAGGGAAACTGCTGTGAGAACTAATGAAATTATCACCTGATTGGTAGAGCTTTGATCTACAAATAAATTCTCTTAACCAATTTTTTAAGGAAATGTATGGAGATCAGTGTGGAGAATTTGTATTTGGCTAAAATTGGGGCTTAAAGGGTCAAAGGAACATGTCACGAGGATATTGCTGTTTTAAATCAATTCTGTGCAGAAGTCATAATTACTTAGTGCGATCAAGAGCTTCTTGGTGCCATTTAACCCATACACAAAATGATCCGTTAGAGATATGAAGGAGATTTCAATAAAATTTTTGAGGGAGCGATAACCACGATAATAATCTTTTTGGTGATTTTAGCAGGTAGAGCATTATTTAGTTCAACTTGAAACAAATTGGCCCAACTTTTTACATGTTTCAATTCGTGTCCATGCTTGACCTCTGTTCCAATCGCGTAACGAGAAAGCTGAATAGCCTCTAACATGGTCTCGCAACAAATTTGCAGTAAGTATCCTTTGCAAAAAGTAGGATCAACGTCTCCTAAAACTTGCTGCAACAAAAATGCTCACAATTAAGACCTAGAATTGTCTTTAAAAAGTGAAAAATGGGAAAAATAAGGTCCTAATACAAAAACGTTCTAGCCTAAATTACACTTAATTGAAAATGCGTTTCCATAGTATATTATTATGACTTCCTTTCACTTAGTGTTTCCATAGAAAACTAGACCCTAATTAACCCCCCTAAACATGTTTGGTGATGATGAAAGAGGTGTACGTTCTTTTCAGCTGTAGTAGTAAAAGTAGCAAAATAAATACTAAAATATAAATAAAACGGGAATATTCAGCTCGAAAGGAAAGGAATGAGGCCTTTGCGAAGGCAGGCAAACGATATCCCTAAATATGATAAATGCAAAATTAGAGGTAAGTCTTTCCACTGAAATATCACCATATTTCAGCTCTATGCATGCGTACACGAAAGCATTTTTCATTAAAGGCCGGTCTTGCGCTTATTCCACTGGATGTATACCATAATATTATAAAATACCCATGTTTACACTTAACATCACCTGGTAAAAAGGAACCACGTTTACAGGTCACAGCTCAAAGTTAGCGGCTCCCTGAACGACAAACTGCATAGCAAGAAAAAATGGAAATAAAAGTCATCATCGGTATGAGAAATCAAATTTTTGACGTTGCTTTATCAATCAGAACCTTTCACCGAGCATTGTAAAAGAAACTTTCTGCTTAACGTCTTTTGTTAAAAAACACCACGCCTCCTCAACAGCCTGATCACAGCAGTGTTTTATTATTATTATTATTATTATTTTTTTTTTTTGTCATTTTTTATCTTAGGGGGTCATCTTAAAATAACCACTCAGTTCAGTTTCATGCATGACGTTACGTGCCGGTGTAACTGAGAGAAGGAAGTTAGACATACAAACACTTGCTAAAGAAATTAAGGAAGTTTTGAGCTGCAGCTAAATGGAAACTCTAATTTTTCTGACCTAACACTGACTAACTTAGACTGAAGGCAAAGTTTTTTCATCGCCTAAGAGTTCTTGGAGTGCTGGAGAGGAAAGGAAAGGGCTGCTGTTAGGAACACAAAGCAACAGAAAGCATTAACTATATTGCCTTTTTAAAACTTTACTGTCATTAATTTGTGTTGAGAATGTTCATCTTTTGACCCTATTTCAGTTCTCCCTGCACGCGGGCATATAAACAGAAAGTCACACTTTGCAAAATAATTACCATAAAAGGAAAAGGAAATAAGCAAAACAAAGCAAACAATGAACAGGAACAAAAGATTGACTTTCAAATATTCCGCACTATTTATCTGACGCGCACGTAGCACTGATTCCAGCCATTGGAGTGGTCTGGTTCAGCTCGCACGATGATTCAGTATTTCGCTGTTTTAATGTTGATTCTCTATATTCCTGGCGGCTCGCTGAGAACAACCACCTCTCCTCAGCAACAAATCACTGCAAAGTTAAAAGATTTATGTGAGGTAAGAAATATACGAAGATAAAAAGGAGTACGCCGTGGATTAGGTACGCCCAGCGGACTAAAACATTTATTTTACTACTTTATCATCACCATATATCATTTGCAAATGCATTCCAATTTATTTTAAAGTCCTTTTTCAACATGATCTTTCCCAGCAGGAAAAACCTGTTAAGCTTAACTGTTAAGCTTCTTTCATTCCACTTTTTCTTCCACAGCACATACCGACAATAGGCCAGTCAATTCCGAGTTCCAAAAACCCTCACTTTTAAAATGAGGCCAAGTACACAACCTTTCTTGTGAAAATGAGTTTAATTTGCTCGAGAACGAGATCATTTCCATATCAAAGACTGAGCACTTAACTTCGTTTTGATACAGACGCCCGGGGAAACTCGGAAATAGCCTGTTCCCTGCTTTTCCTATCGTACTAATTGAGGTCATGGTATCTAACGTCCGACTTCAGTTTTCAGTTTTTCTTCGTCTCTACATTTAACTACAAACCATCTTCTTTTTCAGCGGTCTATAGTGGGTTTCCCGGGCATCCCAGGATCCAGTGGTATCCCGGGAATGCCAGGCGTTCCCGGGCCTCAAGGACTCCAGGGAAGGGACGGTACTAAGGGACAAATTGGTGATAAAGGATCACAAGGAATGCCGGGTTTAAGAGGAGACAGAGGGCGAGAAGGGCCTCCTGGGAAGAGTGGATCCCGAGGAATCAAAGGTCAACAGGGACTTGTGGGGAAGAAAGGAGAGCGAGGGATTGTGGGAAATCAAGGACTAAAAGGAGACAAAGGAGACAAAGGAGAAAGCGCCAAAGCAAGTCAAGCAAGTATAGTACTACAAACCAACTGGAAACAATGTGTGTGGAAATCAGAAAGCGGTACTAGCAACGGAAAGATTAAGGTTATTAGAATAAGAATCATAACACACTCCAAAGAAAATTCATTCTTTTTAAAATATTTCAAAGAAGAACGTCTCCCCTTGAGCTCTCACTCAAGGTTTGCCAACACATTATACATAACTCAACTATTTAGTTACATTTCCCTATTGGATCTTTTTGAACGAAAGAAAGGAAAACCCTAGTGGGCGATAAAATGATTCCTGGCCATATGGATAAGGACGACAAAAATTTAAGTTATTACAGAGTTTTTAAAAATTAGAAAGTAATCTTGACTGGAGTTGTTAGTATCAATCGTTACACACGGTTGCTTGCCTTACTACAATATGTTTGATTTGTTTGATTTCATTCCAGGACTGTGCGTTTAACAAACTGCAGTTTAATTCAGCGCTCAGAGTCTCATTCCAGGGCAACATGAGGGTCTATGGAAGTTCTAAGTGTAACCGATGGTATTTCAAATTCAATGGATTTGAATGCAGTGGACCAATGACGATTGAGGCTGTTGTTAGCAACTACTGGCCATCTGGGAAGCCTAATCTGCTGCATCATCGGTCATTTGAGGGGTACTGTGAAAAAATCCCACAAGGAGCAGTCAGGGTGGAATTGTGGGTAGGACAGTGCAATAGCGTAACCCTGGGTGATGCTCACACTGGGTATAAATCAGTGTCCCGGATAATGATTGAAGAAGTATCTAGGCCCCAGTCCTCATAAGGGGAGTCTTTAACTTTGGCGCTGTTTCAATTTCCTTAGAATAGCATTTTACAAATATAGACTGTAAAGCGCAAGGTGCCAAAGTATTGTTTTTGTTTATTTCCTTTTTAGCCCTTTGTGGCTACCTTCGTCCTATTAGATTGTTAATAGTAAACTCCAGGAGCCTCCTGTAAACTCTTATAACAGTATTAAAATTTTGTATAATTATGTAGGCATATTAGTCTCCTATTCATGTATTTTTTCGCAGCAGTTCTTCGTTCTGTCTCGCAGCGCTTCTCTATGTGTGGAGGCACCTTTGGTGACGACACAATAATCGACTGAGCGCGTAGGGAATTAGTTCCTGATGCAGCCATTTTGTCTTGTCACGAAACGCTCTTTCCCGTTGCGTGACGAGATTAAAATTGCTATGATGGAGAGCCACTGATTGGCAACGCTTTTTAGAGGTGATATGTTGTGGATGCAAAATATATCACTACAGCTTCAGGGGAACCCATTCGCTCTTGGGTTACTATGAATAAAAAAATAAAAAATGCTAAAGAGGTAATCTTCGCCGTAAAATTATTTTAGAAAATCTTTAATCAAATCGCACCTTAAAGACGATTCCTTTTGTAGCTAACCACTTTGAGGCCGAAAACCTCACTAGAAACCTTTATTAAAATCGGATAAGAATTTTGACGATTAAAATCTCACCTAACAAAATTTTTAACAATTAGCTGGAAAGATAAAAATATGATAATAGGATAACTTTATTACCTCTAGCCTGCGTGGCAAGCGTTCTAAAGGGAAGAAAAGGGAATTTTGGCGCGAAACCGCGCGCGAGGGATAAGGGAGGAGAGGAACGCTTTCCCCTTCCTCCTTCCTCGCGCGCCCTTCGTGCCTCTCACGCGTCCAAAATCCTCTTTCCCTTCGCTTTGGAACGCCTGTCACGCAGGCTAGGTTATCTCTCAAACAGTGGGAAAAAAATGGAATGTTTAATTTGCACTCGTAACATTGAGATTCTTGTCAAAACTTCCCATTACTTTAATAGCATCTTTGTTACATTTCTTTCATGTCAGTGTAGTCTGCTTTAATGCATGATTGAAGCTTTCAATAAAGGACAATGTCTTACTTAACAGTATGTAAAAATCTTGTCTATTATTTGTGTTGCATGTTCTAACAACGAAAATTGAGCGGAGTATGCCCGCACGGTCTCTCGATATCGATCTATCCAATGCAGCTATTTGCATACTTTCCTGTTCGAATGCGTTCATGAACAAAGACCTACTAGTTCGCAGGTTTCTTTTCCTTAGAAAATAGGAGGCGGGGGGGGGGGGGGGGAGAGAACGTCACGATCAATTGGGAACGTTAATCACCCCTGTAGTGCTGTATGGGTATACCCTGGAGAGCAATCCTTTCTACTATATCCAAACCAAAAACACTTTTCCTCGATGTTTTAACCGGAGGTGAACTAATAAAAGGTTAGAATAGCCAAAAAGCAGTTCACCTCTGATAAAAGAGTACCAATGTATAATAAATGTCGACCCTGCACCGACCCATAGGAGCTCCTCTGATTTTATATCTGGGTCGGATGAAACACAAGTAAGATAAATCCGCCTTTGCCCAATAAGGATACCTTATTATACGAAATTTACCCTCTATGAAATTAACGCGAATCGTTAAAATTCGCGTTAATTAAAGTCGCGTTCATTTTGTTGAGCTTTAATTTCCGGGGACGTTAATTAAGTGCAGCGTTAATTTCCGCGCTCTTAATTTCCAGTATTTTAACCCCAATTTTCGAACTTGTCCAGACATTCTTGACACCTAAAAAACATTAACTACAAGCTCGCTTTCTTTCCATTCACCCTTTATTTTTCATCTTTCACAAAAGCTAAGGCGAAGCTTTTTTTTGCATGGAAGCGGTGATGAAGGAGTTCAGTGTTCACTCTTGGCGACTCGAATGCACACTGAGTGTTTCAACCATCATTGAGAAGAAAGGACGCTTATTTTAAACTGTGGATCCTTGTTGTTTCGTAACTACAATCTGAATCTTGTTTAAATATATAGAGGCATATTTAAGTCTATGTAATAGCTTTGGGAGCATTTCATCGATGTCGATCATAAAAATCGTTTCACATGTGAGCTTCATGCGACAGCGAGTTGCTTCGTACAGATCTGAGATTTGTATGTTGCCTGTAGTTTCTTTGATAACATATGCCTGTAAAGCACGTCTTTGTGTGATTTCTTTTACAATAAAGACATAGTTGCTGCTTCACCGAAAAAAATTTTTCTCTATACTAGTGCACATTTTAATGGCGCAGATGGCAGCCGTAAAACATTTAATTTGGAATGAGGAAACGGAATCACGGAACGGAGTACGGAATCCAATAGCAATGACAGAAAAATATTATATAAAAATTCCTTGACACTGAAATGTACAAAACATTTCCACTCCAATTTCTGAGACTGTAGATGTTTATCACAAGGATAAACCTGTACAAAAATAATATTTAATGTTCATATTTATGTTTTGCATACAACGTGCATTTCCTTTACTACCAATGGAAATTGTTCAAAATTGAAATAAATGTAGTGCTTGTTACGAGACTTGTAGTGTTAAAAGGAACCTTTTCTCTTTGTGTACATGCAAAATAACAAGTTTAATATGATGGTGCAGCAAGGTCTAAAAGTCACAAGATTGTAGAGGGATATCATTTCCTTACACTCCAATTTGTCGTTAAGCTTCGAACACAAGGATAACAGCTTTATTTGATGACAAAGCAACCTTCATTGACACAAGTAAGACGCCCATCTTTGAGTGGGAAGTCGCAATTCTATTTATCCATCTTTGAGTGGACAAAGTAGTGCTTGTGTCAATGATATTTCAAATGTTGCAACGGTCACCAGGAGATATACAAGAAGATTTTTCAGAAATATAATTTCCTTACACTTCAATTTGTCGTTAATCTTCGAACACAAGGATAACAGCTTTATTCGATGACAAAGCAACCTTCATTGACACAAGTAAGACGCCCATCTTTGAGTGGGAAGTCGCAATTCTATTTATCCATCTTTGAGTGGACAAAGTAGTGCTTGTGTCAATGATATTTCAAATGTTGCAACGGTCACCAGGAGATATACAAGAAGATTTTTCAGAAATATAATTTCCTTACACTTCAATTTGTCGTTAATCTTCGAACACAAGGATAACAGCTTTATTCGATGACAAAGCAACCTTCATTGACACAAGTAAGACGCCCATCTTTGAGTGGGAAGTCGCAATTCTACTTATCCATCTTTGAGTGGACAAAGTAGTGCTTGTGTCAATGATATTTCAAATGTTGCAACGGTCACCAGGAGATATACAAGAAGATTTTTCAGAAATATAATTTCCTTACACTTCAATTTGTCGTTAATCTTCGAACACAAGGATAACAGCTTTATTCGATGACAAAGCAACCTTCATTGACACAAGTAAGACGCCCATCTTTGAGTGGGAAGTTGCAATTCTATTTATCCATCTTTGAGTGGACAAAGTAGTGCTTGTGTCAATGATATTTCAAATGTTGCAACGGTCACCAGGAGATATACAAGAAGATTTTTCAGAAATATAATTTCCTTACACTTCAATTTGTCGTTAAGCTTGGAACACAAGGATAACAGCTTTATTCGATGACAAAGCAACCTTCATTGACACAAGTAAGACGCCCATCTTTGAGTGGGAAGTTGCAATTCTATTTATCCATGAGTGGACAAAGTAGTGCTTGTGTCAATGATATTTCAAATGTTGCAACAGTCACCAGGATATAGACAAGAATATTATTCAGGAATATAATTTCCTCACACTTCAATTTGTTGTTAAGCTTCGAACACAAGGATAACAGCTTTATTCGATGACAAAGCAACCTTCATTGACACAAGTAAGACGCCCATCTTTGAGTGGGAAGTTGCAATTCTATTTATCCATCTTTGAGTGGACAAAGTAGTGCTTGTGTCAATGATATTTCAAATGTTGCAACAGTCACCAGGAGATAAACAAGAATACTAGTCAGGAATATAATAATTATTTCTTTACACTTCAATTTGTTGTTAAGCTTCGAAAACAAGGATAAAAGCTTTATTCGATGACAAAGCAACCTTAAGCTAGCTTCATTGACTCAAGTAAGGTGCCCATCTTTAAGTGGGAAGTTGGAATTATTCTATTTATCCTTCTTTGAGTGGACAAAATGGTGCTTGTGTTAATGATACTTTCAATTTTTACAAATGCCACAAGGAGATCAACTTGACGATTACACAGTTTTTTTTTTTTTTTTTATATTGTTACACTTTAATTTTGTTTTGTGCCTCAAGCACTTGGATAACGGCTTTATTCGATGATAAAAGCAACCGTCATTTTTTAAATATTTTTCATTGTAATGCACTACCAGAAAACTGCCTGATTTTAAGCTCTCTAGTTTTTTTAGAACCAGGCTGTTATGATACATGTAATACATGTATTATTATTTTGATATAAATATTTGACATTTTTTTGGTCTTTGTAATGCACTACCAGAAAACTGCCTCATTTTAAGCTCTCTATACGCTGTGCTTTGGCAGTGCCTGGTGGCCCCTGTTGCATTACTGTTGCTCTTAGGCGACAAGGAAGTCTTAGTTTGTTCAAACACATTCATCCTGGGTACCTGGATCTTTCAGGTTAAGGGCACAAGGCTCTTTCATTTTTTTAAGAACACAACACATGTTTTGCACGTTTGTATTATGCATACATAATTAATGATTGTTATAGAATGCACTAGGGCCACACCCTACCCCCTTTGACATTTTTAATGTTAACAGTGTCCTTTCCATTTATATGCAAGGTTTGATTGTAGTGTAAATTGCTCAGAGTAGAGAGCAAGAACCAAATCTAAAGATTCAAAATAGTTAGGGTGACTATTTTGCCAGACTAAACTGTTGCTGAAGAACAAAGTAAATGTTAATTAAATGTTTATCATAGTAGTCATGCCACTGTGACTAAATAAGTGTTT